GGCCACGTCTGCTACGTTTTTCTGAAAACGTGGGGAAGGAGTGGCGTCGACGCACGCCACTCGCACGGTTGCGCAAAGTGTAAGAGTGTGGTCTGCACGCTACGTCTCGCCGTGAGCGGTTGCGTGCATCGTACGTTGCACAAGTGGTAAGTGAGTTGTACGTGCTTACAACGTACGATCTCTGTGCTATTGCAACTTTACCGTAAGGAGGCCATACTCACACGTGCTTCTTCCGCACGGCACGTACGGGGCACGCGCGTCGCTCGTACTCGCACGGACGGGTGGTGAATCCGCAGACCGCACGTAGAAAAAGTTTTACATGCACTTAAAGTTCTACGGCGTGTCTGCGTGCTCCCAAATCCGTAGGATTCCGTACGGAGGTGGTACTCACCACGCACGGATGCCCTACGATTGCCCACGTTTTTGCACGTAGACAGCACGCAGAAGCACGTGATCGTAGCTTTACGTACAATCTAATTTACCGACTCAACTGAACTTCAAGGTGGTTTGTTACATACCTGACATAGACAGATATCCTCCAAACGGGTTGACCACATATGTTGGGTCTGACAAGTCTCCTTGTCGTCGACCGTCGAAGTCAGGATGAGTGATGCTGGATCAATTGAAAAGTAAAGTAGATTATACAATCAGTCTACTGTTTCTGTATGTATGAAGTATCTAGCTAAACGCTTTAACCCTCAAACCACCGTATAGGGTCAAAACTAACCCCAGGCGTATATAAATATGTGTCATTTAAACATTTCTTGTCTAAAAGACCCTTCTAGGAGTTTGTTTGTAAATACATGTATGTCTTATAAGTTCTCATACGTTTTTACTGAGATTGGGTCATTGTTGATTGAATTATCCTAGAAAGTTTATGCGTGGTCCAGTGGGGTCAAAACCTACCCCAGCATTTTAGCACGTATTTTGTTGTCGCCAATGTTTCTTCAAGGTAATATGATGAATTTTTTGCTGCCATTTCAATAACCTCAAACTCTTGAATCAGAAAACTAAAAAAATTGTGACCCTAGAACCATCGACATATGGCTGTCTGTAGGCATCTTGTGTGACATGCATACATTATGATAATGAGCAGACATTATGCACACCTAATCATGTCGAATTTTCGAATTGGTAAGAATCGTCGCAAAAAACCTACAGTGGTTTGAGGGTTTTAAACCATAATTACCAACAATACGTATATTTAGGTTGTTTTCTCCCTAAATAACACTTGCAATATCATATGTCATGATTTCAATAACTTGTATAAAAAAACTGTACCTTTCTAGAATTTTTACATTCTAAGTATCATTGTAACGGTTAAGGTTCATACAGAAAATTAAACCACAAGTTTTGAGGCAATAGACTGTTGTAATACCAACCTGAAATCATAATAACTAATGGGGACTTGCATGCTGTTCACGTCTATCTCCTCTGTGGAAAATGATAAAGAATTCAGTAATTAGTTACTCGAGAAGCACAGTTTTGTCTACATTTTTCAATGTTTCTTCATGATCCAGAAATTATTTGAAATTCCTGCTGGGACTCTACGCGATGAATTCATGGTACAGGAAATGCCAAAATTGAAAAAAAAATCATGGCCTTACGTCTCAGTAGGAACGAAGAGAATATATAATTGGTTTAAATTTAAAGGATATATAAGTAAGCATACTTATCCTACATGGGTATACAATATACGATAGTCCTACTGACATTTATCCGCCAGGTTACATAAATCCACAACTTCAAAGAAAATGTGATATATCTGCTGCAGAAAACCCAGTTACGTGCAGTTTAGACATGCAAGGGTAAATTATACTGGGGGGGGGGGGGGTTTGCATTGGAGATTATTTATCAGTTAAGCCACACTGACTTAATTTTATGGATGACATCCTCTATCTGAAGACAGCCAAACTAGTGCCTGTGGGCGAATAGAAAAATCCAGCCCAAAAGAAATACTGCTAAACCACAGGAATACAAAGCTGGTATTGTGAATTTGCGGTAGTAGTAGAACATGGCTACTTTTACGACAAGCCGTCTGGCCTTTTGCGGCAATAATGAGTCGGCACTGTACTGGGTTGCTGAGTTCCGTGGAACTTCGGCAGCCTGGGTACCATCCTCCCCAATTACCACCGGCTCCCTATTGTCGATAGGTACCATGTACTACGGAGGATTGCACCCAGGCCAGAGCCTAGGAGGAGGTCATTTTTTTAGAATGAATGAATGAATGAATGAATGAATGAATGAATGAATGAATGAATGAATGAATGAATGAATGAATGAATGAATGAATGAATGAATGAATGAATGAATGAATGAATGAATGAATGAATGAAGACCTTTATTGTACAAACATACCCACTGGGTTAGGTACAAAGGTTAACTTGAATACACAAATATATACACAACAAGATCAATCTAGTACTAGCACTTTAGAACAGGCAAAAAATAATGCGGGAGCGGGTGTCATCCGTAAAATTAAATGGGTGCGGCCTTAGCACGGTGTGTTAGAAGTAATTCTTCTCGGTGGCGTATCTACGTGGCTTGGTGGAATCATGTGAGTAGATAGAAGAGTTACCCGTTTCCTGCAATGTTGTAACAGTAACCGGCCAGCTAGATGCACTGAAGTCGCCCATGTTATTATACAGTACTGTGCACGTGTACATCGTTCCTGCCTGGACTCCATCAGATGCATTGAACACGGTAGAATTTTGAACAATAAGACCCCTGTTGATCGGTGGTGCCGTGTCACTTGTACAGTTGACTACATAGTATCTGGAGAAAATAGGTAACATATTGCAAAATTACAAATAATGGGGACCTGTCATGATCAATTTCAATTTCCTAAAGGCTACTACGAGTATGTGACTGCAAAGAAGTGTGTTTGAATAGAATAACCTTAACCATGGGAATATGTTGACAAGAGTTCTAGTTCTACTTTTTGAAGTATGTTCATTTTCCATCTTGCTTGTTACCTCCGGGTAGGGATGTATCCCGTGCGCGGAGGTTTTGTGGGGGAAGACGAAAATTACGTTCGCAGCAGTTTCTAGCGTTTGGGTGGACGGATATGTCTGGGACTTGGTATACGTTTTGCTATTGGGCTGTAGATGGTGCACGTTGTTTTTGTTTTTTAGTATGTGTGTTTTAGTGCGTGAAAATGATGCGTTTTGACAGCGTATGGACACCCCTTGTGTGTGAAAGTGGTTTTGTCTTTTGGTTTTCGGCGTGTATAAAGTGTCGTAGGTTGCGTCCACATCTGGTGAGAGGGGGTTTCAGGTATCGAGTGTGAAAATGGTCGCGCGGGTCGCAGCCAGCCAACTTCCGGGTGGGCCAATGGGTCAGGGGTCAACGCCCTCTTGCGCAATTTCGGATGTTTTCTGCGTATAGTACGACTTCTTACAAATACCGTGGTATACTGTCTCAGGCGTTCTCGACATGCATTTCGCGTTGGGGTAGACGGGACTCGGTGTATCTTCTGTTAATGGGCTGTAGATGGTGCAGGGTTTTTTTGTTTTATTGTATATGTGTTTTGGGGCGTAAGATTATTTGTATTTCGTGTCTCGGACACCCGTTACTGTTGTTAGTGTGTGAAAATGGTCGCGCGGGTTGACCATTTGCGGTTTCATCTTCGCCAATCAATCAGCACACTCGGCTCGGGGTCGCCGATGTTATCCTGGAGCTAGCTTGGGTGCCATCCCCTACCGCGAGTGAGCGATAATCTTTCGGCCAGGGAAAGCCACACGCCCCGCCGACCCTGATTTGCGCCCTGGCTCTCCTCGCGTCCGGATCTGGCCGGGTGTCTGTACAAAGCCTCTCGACCGCTGAGTCCCTGTGTTTTCGAACTTCGGTGGGGATTTCCGTGTTGTTTTCTGATTTTCATCATCCACTAAGATATACTTGAAGACCGAGCGTGATTTGAACTAGTGTGGGATAAGTGGGGAGGGATGGCAGCCGCGGGGGGAAGCGGTCGGCTTGATAAATTTTCGAGAGCAAGTTGATTTCTCACGCGGCCGTTTGTGTGGGTGTTTGTTTACATTATCGCTGGTCGCTGAGGGTCGGGCAGCCAGATTCGCCACGGGATGCCTCCTGTCCTTTCTATTTTTGGGCTCCAGTCGGCTAGGGGGATTAGTGATTTCACAGATCATTTAGCCAATTACAAACATTTCGAAACTTTTCGAAAAAAATGGTATTCGCGCGAATTCACTAGTTAATTTAAAGAACAGTCCCAACATGCACCCAACATTCTGCAACATACATTACAATACCCGGAGGTACAAAATCTACGATTTTCCTTGTTTCAGTACTTAACTTAACCACAATTTCTCTTCATTTAGAAAACAAGCCACTTACGGGTAGTCGACTTGATCTGGTTGCTCATCATCAATGACGCTACTTTCATTTGTTTGAGTCCGATTAAATCCAGTGTTATTGACGCCTGTGATGTTAGCTTCATTTTGGTTGAGGTTTGTGGTATTGCTAATGCTGACATTTGTCAGGTCTGTTTCTGTTTGGTTGAAATCCGTTGCGTTGCTGACTGTCTCGTTGACCATTGTTGTGTTGATCATTGTCTGGTTATAAGTCGTTGTGTTGGTGCCAGTTTCGTTGGAGCCTGCCATGGTGGCATTTGTTTGCTGAACGCTTGGCTGGATGTTCTCCAAAGTTGGTACGAGGTCCCATGACAGGCTGATTTCTCTATTGCTTGCTGCAGACGCCTGTACATTGCTTGGAGCTACAAAGAACAGTCGTGAAATGTTTTAGCAAAGATCATCGTATCGCAGTGAGGCCATGTTGATTTGATTATATGGATGACATCCTCGCGCGCATGAATTTTCGGCCGTTTCCAAAAAAAAAAAGATTTCAACCATACTGTAAAACGTACAAAACAGTTGCAAAATGAGCAAAAATATACCATAAGTTACAAAAAAATTAATAAAAACTATACCATTGTCGTAGAATGCCAAAATCAAACGAAAAAAGACGAAATTGTAAAGAAATGAACTTGAAGACTAGATAGTTCGCCAAACCATATTCTGTGCCATTTGCTCAACCCTTATGACCACGTAGATTTCATAATGAAAAGAATTTTTGCAAATTTTTTTTTTTATTCGCACGCGCGCATCAGTTTTGGGGCTCCCGGAGGATGTCATCCATATAATCAAATCAACATGGCCTGATTGAGTAAAATGGCAATAGGTGTCTTTATTATCAACTACACCAATTGTTAACTGTATAAAATTCAGCTTGGAGTTATGCATTTAATTTCAAATTTGCTATGACTTGCTAATTCACTTACCACAGAGAAATTTTGAGGAATCAACGTTGGCAAAGTATTTGTTGGATGTGTCGAAGCTCTCAAATGTTATGTTGATGAGTTGTTCGGGTGTTGAGCATGTTCCCCCGAATATTGTCGTGTTCAGGATGCTCATTGTGTTATAGAATGAGCAGCTGCAGGCTAGCTGATTTCCAGTCAAATACCTGTAAAACGCATTCAAAAAATAAAAACTGTAGAATCAGTTTTGATGAGGTAACTTTATGTTGCAGCCGTGAAGCAACGGCATCATGAAAGTTTAAATAATATGTATGTTATCTAAAGGATGAGTACAGTATAGAGCTACAGTACTGTACCTTCTAGAGAGCCCCCTACCATCGCTGATAGCTAGGCAACAATGGAATTTGTCTTCCCATGCAACAATAGGGACAAACAGTAAAATGAGAATGGTGAAAAGTATTTTGCCGCCAAAAACAGTTACTCATTAGCAACTGGATATGATTTTGGAAACGGTCAGACGTTTCAGCTAGTATCCACTAGCTTTCGTCAGTGACTGACAGACCAGAGGGGAAATACAGGTTTATAAGCACAAACTATTGATTAATATGCAAGCTAGCGGATACTAGCTGAAACGTCTGACCGTTTCCAAAATCACATCCAGTTCCTTGAGTAACTGCTTTTTGGTGTATCATAACATTTTGTTGCAAATAATCTAACTATTATGATAATGATTTGTTTTAAAACATCATCAATGCATACTCACAAGTACGTTTCATTCGTAGCTAGTATGTCGAAAGCATTCTCCTCCACAAACTGAATTTTGTTGTTGGAAATGTCCCTGGTAAGATAAAGAGGTAACCAGTCGTAACTACATGTATGGCTAGTAGATACGATGTTTGAATGAGCTGAGATGTGTATGTGTTTATCAATTACACAGAAATACTTCACAACAAACGAGATAAAGAAAGAACATCGACAACAAACAATATTCGCAAATGTTAGTTGGTTAAGACCAATATGCACTTACACTGTTTCTAGACGGGGAAGATCTGGTAGCTTGTAGAACACTTGTAGATCATTCTCACCTAACAACCTACAACGATCGGCAGAAGAAGAACGACAGCGATCTCATTTTAAATCCATCCATCTTGAAACAATACATGTATAATTTGGCTATTCATGTCCTTATTTTGAACAGAATTGATTAAACATAATATTTGAGATCTTTTCAAATCCACTACAAAGGAGATCTCAAGACAACAATGAAGTTGAGCGTGCATGGGGTTTTTGTATGTGGTTGAAAGATTTTAAGAATGTTATAAGAAACATGTAATACTTTTAAGTAAAATGCATGTACATGCTATGGACTTACAAATGCTCAAGGGACAGCAAGTTGTCGAAAGCACCATTACCAATGAAAGAAATTGTGTTGTTTGTCAGGTCCCTGTAAAATGACAACAGAAGGCACTCAATACAAAATTATGTGGTCAAGACAATACAGCAGAGAGTATTGTACTTGTTTTGGGATATTTCGTCATTTTGCTACAGTAACCATTGATTAATGCTGTAAGTATACTCACATCTTTTGTACTGTGGGCTGTAGTTGAAAACATCCCTTAGGAATGCTGACCAGTAGGTTGTTACTGATGTCACTGTGGTAAAGACAATAGTTGCAATGTGATATTATGTCTTATACAGTCATATGGTCGCTCCAGATCCAGTTCTTCTAGCGTCACCGACGTCACCGACAAAATATGTGACGAAAGAACTGTTTATCCAACTATGGATGGGCCAGCTGTCAGAAAAAACGGGGCATAGAAAAAGGTCACAACCTTCACATTCAACCTCTGCTTGGAGAGTATGTTTATCACTGGTATTACCTACAAACAGACATTTGGCTCGATGAACTAAAACAGATAAAATATTCTTTTGTCAGTCGTTTAGTCTAATGCTAACAGAACAAACATGAAATGGTGATGATATACAAAACTTGGCAAGTTCTTACATGGTTAATAGCTCCACCTCTTCAAATGCCCTTGAACCGATATAGCGAAGTTGGTTGTTCCGAATGATGCTGTTGTGATCAAAGACAAAAAGAGTGTAAAAAGAAAATAATTCTGTTTTTAATGACGTGTGAGCTTTACGTATAGATATTTTGTATAAAACTACCCAATAACAATAAAAATTGAAATATTAAATGGAACTAATTTGTGTGAGTTGAAATTTGTCTTACAGGTTTTTAACTCTTGAGCCCGATGTAAACATCTTGCCTACGATGACCTTGATGGCACAGTTTGACAAGTCACTGAAAATCATTTCAAGAAATGTGCAACAATTTAAAGATCTGAGTATGTCCTTCAATATCAGTCCACAAACACACACGCGCGCACACACACACACACACACACACACACACACACACACACGCACATACACACACACGCACACATACACAATCACGCTTTAGAAAAGAAAGAATGGTGACAAACAGAAATGTTTAATGTACATCATGTCAATGCGCCATTTACGTTGTATTTATGTAGGTTTACTTTCCAGGAATTGACTGGTATGATTGTAAAGACCACATTGTAAGCCTTGCCATACATAGTACTATGTACAACTGTCGAGCAATAAAGATCGTTCATTCATTCATTGCAATCAGAAGCACACATAAAGCAAACCCTTTGCATCATCAAAGTATCAAATACAAAGCATCGGAAAGCAAAATCTTTTCTAATAGATATGACAACCTTTAAAATTTCAGATCAATGTTTTAATAGTAAGATATCGTTGAAATGATATTGGTAAATTTGACACTTACAGCGTACCGTGACCCTCCAGACTACTCCAGACATTCACCGACGAAAATGCTTCTTCTGCGATTGCCGTCAGCTTAGAGTTTCCGTACAACATCCTTAGCAAAAACAAAGAATGAATTGTCGTATTGAACAGTATTGAAAAACAGATCGGTGTCACATTTTGGCGTAGAGTGCAGTAATGCAATTTTTTTTTTTTTTAATTATTTCACAAGTAAGACAAAGTACAGGACAAAGTGATAGCGCACTCAAGTTACAATACTTATTTTGACGCTACCACTTAATAAATGAAATACAAGGAAATAAGGGATAACAAAATGTGAAATGGTATAATAAAGTACAAAGATGTTGAAATGTTTATGAGCGCAGTCCGATTCCCCACCCAATGATGAAGCAGATAAAACTGTAGGACACGGAAAAAATATGACAGAGAATGATTATTGGAAGCGTTTTGTTGTGGTGATGAATTGTTGGGTTAACATCAAAATGTTGGAATTTGCTATGAGTGAACATGTGGGACTACCACGGAGAAGGAGGAACATTTTGGCGTTGTCAGACAAAACTGTAAAGTTGAGGGAGTGTCCTAAGAGCCTGGAAAGTGGAGAATTATGCGT